TCTAGTAGGAATTTTTTGGGGGACCCCATGCCAAAAAAGAAAATCCCTTACCAGACCCTTGATCCGAGCAGCAGCCTGGCAGAGCAGGAAAGGGGGGACAAACTGACATTCTTCCCCGAGAACTAATGCACATGTCTAATGTTTCTTATTTTAATCTGATTTTTCAAAGAAGGTAATATTAATACACATTTATTCACAATATTTAATTGCCTGTATAATGATCAAGTGCTACTTAGGCATGAGTCATTGGTAGATGAATTATTACTCTTGTATCAGCAAACTCAGCATGCTGGGTATATGCAGGCTGGGCCAAAGTAGATGCCTCTTGTTTACTAGAAAACCAAAACAGAGTGCACCGACCTAGAGCATTACTATAAACACAAGCAAAATAATAAGTGACGCAAGGGATGCAAGTGACTGTTGTCACCAAAGGGAGTGTCATGGCTTAAACTGTTAAGCAATACCCTATCATTTACATTGTGAGTACATCCACTTATTATTTTGTCTGTGCACTTTGTTTTTATGGGATTTTTTGTTTTGATCAAAGTATCCTCTACCTTCACTAGAGTTGCAAGACTTTGTGTTGGGTCCCCCACTCCTTCTCTTCACCAAATGGACATTTGCATATAGCATTCACCACCAATTTACGCTCTTTTTTTGTGTATAGCCTCTTAGTGTAATTTTTTGCTGGGCCCCCTAATTGTTTTAAGCACAAAAGCTTTAAACAATTAGGGAGCAGGAAACTAGAAAGTATACCCAAACATAGACAGTTAGGGTTTGGTCAGATCTTTGAGTACTCAATAGGGGAACTCTGTGATCAGGAGCAGCCTGTTTCTCAGGAGAAGACTCATCCCCCATGTGTATCTACAGAAAAAGCTGATGAAAGTGTGGGGGTTTTCTATACAAAGGTAATGTGCAAAGATCACATTAAAAATAAGTTAGACATCTTAATAAGCATTTGTTCCCATCATGGATTACATCCCATCGCAAGAACGATTCACATGCATTTATAAAAAAAATTTACATAATGTGCAGGAGGCCTCCCTTGAGGTGGAGGAAAAAAAACTGGGTGTGGTTTGGCAGCTGTGGTTGAATAATTAATTATATTCAAAATCCCCAACCCCCTAAGGGCTAATGAGAACTGACTTTTGTTTGTTTTACAACAGCTTATCTCCCTTGGCATGTCTATTGGAAGGCAAAAGTAGCTGAAGCCATTCAAATGCTGGTCAAGTGCACCTGCAGATGAGTACTGAAAGATCTCAGCGGTGTCTAAAACTGATATCAAAAACATGCTTGCTATATTTGCTCATCAAAGCCTGTTGACAAATGCCCTAATTTTAGTTTAAAAAAAAAAAAAGTACAATAGGCATAACATAAGAAAAGTAACCAACACCAACCCATCAAAGACACCCTACACTTCCTTTTTGATGTTAGTTTGACTGGTTTATGTTTTACTTTCATCATATTTAAAAATCAGCAAATCATGGAAATTGTATCAATATATACAATGGAATTTTTTTTTTAAGAAATAGACTCCTCACTTTGCAAAGTGAACCTTCATTGTGCTTAGTAAATAGGTTGATGCTGTGTTCAAATCGACCAACCAGTCATGCACTGGTAAAAATCCTATTTCTTCTTTTTTTATTTCCCTTAAACATCGTTGAGTATTCATAGTAAACAAAGGTGTGCCTTATTTACTATCACTCAATTTGCAAGTGAAAATATACTTTTAAATTCACTTTGCTAGGTCAACAACCTAACCTATACTACTTCAGTGAATCAACCACATTGTTTTGTACCCTTTTTTAAAGTAGTATAATTTTAAAATCTCATTGCTAACCATTTTGGAATGCATTTTAATCTTAATTAACAGAAATGTAGATTTATTACCTGAATAATTTTCAGAAACTATGGCAGTTAAATTAGGTTCACCTCTTTATGGGGCCCCTTCACTTCTATTCACGCAGCGTATCACACACTTTGTTGTACTTTGCTTGATGTGTCGATGTGGTTTGTGGTGCCTGTGCCTATTCATTTTCTATGGGTCCTCGGCAATCATTCATGCACTATGACTTGTTTTCCCCAAGTTACCACCACATGTTTCTGATAGATCTGAAAAAACACAGGCCTATTAATTTGTAATGACACTCTCACCTCTATCAAATAATAATACTCCTCATATGTTCAATTTTATCCCCCCATAGTAATATCCTTAACACAGTTAAATCATAATAGTTCTTCCAAAAAAATGTTCCCAAAACCGTTGTGCCTCCAGTGAAAAAGATTAATTAAACCAACTGTGTTTCATTGTGCTTCAATCAAAAATTTGTGTTCCTTATATTTCTTCCCCAGTAATTCTCTTCCCAAGATCTTCCGCTAGTGTTTTCAATCCACTTCTGTGCACACCCACCCCTTTTTGTAGTGGACTCAGGGCCGCCATCAGGGGGTGGGGGTGTACCACAAATACTCCTGTAAGGGGCCCGGGCAGCATCAGGGACCCGTGGACCTTACAGGAGTATCGGCCGACGGCACTACAGTTAGTGGAGACGGCCGGGCCCCCGCGTCCCTGGAAGAAACCGGGGCCCGCACACTCCAGATCCTCACCTGAAGTGCATTCGGTGTCCTCGGGGGGTCTCCACTGCAGATTAGGTTTTTAAAGATGGCCACCACGAGTGACTTCATCACATGGCTGCAGTTTGCTGGGCCTGAGAGGACCCTGACAGCCTATGGGAAGTGTCCATATCACCAGAGCAGTAACATGGGCACACAAAGAAGGACCTTCCCACTCTGCAGTGAGGAAGAGCCTGGCATGGCATGTCATGTCATCACATATTTAGGGAAGTAAAAGGAGCATTTAGGTTTTTAAAAAAATATTATTATTATTATACTAAGTGACCAGTTAGACGGGTTGGGGTAGTGGGGGTGGAGAGGGAGATTAGCTTTAATCAAAATGTTTTTTCAGCATAAAACAAGCTAATGGAAAATATCTTTGCTTTTCTTGCTTTGAATTGAAAATATCACCAATAACAAGTAGGAAAACAAAACAAAAAAAAATCAGTCGTGGTTCTGAATGTATTTGCAAAGCACAGTACATACCGAATATAATGTCGCCTTCACAATGGTAAGCATTCCTAGATTTGCGGTCATCAGTCACCTTTTTTTTTTATATGTTTGTCCTTTCAGTGCTATTTATGAGCATTCTTTTTTCTGCACATCAGAAAACATTCAGAAACTGAATGTACAGAAGCTACACGCAGGCTTTTCTTATCAGGTGCTTTGCAGTTATGTCAGCCCCCATTTTCTGTAATCCAGTAAAAAGCACATACATGACTTCTTTGTTGTATCTTTACATGTGTAAACATAACACAGTTAATATACTAGCTTGTTGTTACCTTTTGACATTCTATAATATATTCTACATTCTATAGAGAAAATACTTTTGATTACATCTTTTCTTGATAACTTATTACATTGTATTATCAAGAAAATATGTGATAAAAAGTACTTTTAACCATCAGCAACTATTTTCAAAGAATGAGCATAACAAAATAAATAAAAACAAAAAGTCAGACACTTCCTCCTCACAAAATGTGTTATTTAAAAATTATTATCAAAAACAGAAAGGACCAGTGCGCACAATAAAAATGAGCTAAAAACACTTTAGCTAAAAAATGAGCTAAAAACAGGCAATAATATGTGCTCACAACCTACAAGAAATAAAGTCCAGTGATTACAAAGGGTTCTGCATTGATTACTTAGCATGACTGAGGTGACCAAAACCTACGGAGATACTAACTACAGACCCCTGCACCAGTCCATACAATTATATTGCCATATACACATAATTAAAAAAAAAAATATACAAAGCACTATATTTAAAAAACAATATATATGTTGAAGGCCAATTATTGGCCGGATTTGTGGGAGGAGCCCCACACATTTACAACCCTCTGGTTCCCCCACTCACCCGTCGGGACGTCCAAGTCATCCCACCCTCCCTGACTCCTTTATTAAACAGTTACTTGAGTATGCCCCCTTATTGCATACTGACCATAGTGACCGTGGCACACCTTAGGTCAAGGTTAGGTAGGGTCATCATCCGCATGTTACAGGTACGAATCAGTGGGGCTCTGACTACAAATATATAGATATAGATATCTATAGATATAGATATCTACATCTATAGATATCCATATCTATAGATATATATACAGTGCACATATAAAAAAAGGCATATTGCATATAAGCATAAAGTTGTTGATAACCAATCCTGCATGCTTCTGCAATACAAAGAGTAGGTCACCACAAGTAAATATTAATCTAAAAAACAATAAAAATAATAATAGAAATGATAATGTCACATTGCTGTAAAATGTATACTCATAAATACTTCCTAACTTCCCTGAATAGAATAGGAATACCACCTACAAAATACTTAACAACTAAATTGCTACCAACACAAAAATGGCACTGTCATAGTTTATAATGTACCGGATGAAATTTGCACAGTGTGTGGGGCTGTCAGCTCCCTTTCCGCCGGCATTCCTCGATCAGCTGATCAAGGAGCCAGCTGGAAAATCTTCAATCGATCAGAGCCAGCGGCACCTGTCAGAATACAATGTACTGTAAATAGCTGGATTCTTCGACATGCTGGGTGTTGAACACAAAAAAATTGATAGGTTTATGGTCATCCTTAGTTGGCAATTCGGCTGCCTGTCAGGTAAGATAGTTTCCAATGACAGCACAATGATGGAGCACCTTATTATATAGTCATACACAGCTAGCTAAGACTGCAGCATATGCATTGAACAGAAGTGTATTCTTTGCTAGATATATTTGGAGATTGCAATCAATACATGTGTATCTATCTTTTGTTCATTTACTTTGGTAAATCAGGACTATTGCATCCCCAGAACTGGAAATACTGATAAAGGATTTTGTCTAATTGCAGTTCTAAAAAGAGAGGTGTTCATAATAAATATATTCTTTTGTTTTTGTAGATTGAACTATCAGCCATTGCAGCCCAGGCTGGATCCACACTGAATAATCTGGTTCTTAGAGCACAGGAGCTAGTCATTCTTCTACATTCCCTGCAGGTGGACAGGCAGGAGTTTGTGTGCCTGAAATTTCTCATACTCTTCAGTCTCGGTAAGTGCAGAATATTTTTCACTACTGAAAATGTTGGCTTGAAAGTACGGTATAGAGAAAACTGCAACATCTTAAAAATTTCAGTAATATAGAAATTGGTGAGAATTACTCTGAAATCCTAAATAAAAGATCTTCAGAATCCATGACTGTCCTGTGACTGTGGAAATCATGGACAATTGGTGACTCTATTGTATGGTTATGTGCTAATGATATAATAGGGGTAAAATGGCTTTTGGCTTTAATTGTTTTTAGAAGCATTTACTTTAAAGTGAACCCATAACGCACTTACAGGGGCGGGCCTGAGCCTGGGTGGGGGCCAGTATCTGATCTAACACAGCCCCGGGGCAGTGCCGGGGGGGCCGCC